TTTAATTTTAAACTCTTTCGTCACAACAGGATTTATTTAGTTAAAAGAATTAATTAAATACTCCAGTTAAAATTAAATGTTTTCTTACACAGACAGCTGCTTACGTTTCCTATTAGATATTAGAATTTTATTTTACTTTTAAACTTCTCTTAAATATATTCGAGGGAAGGTTTTCTTTTTTTTTACGAAATTTTTAAAGCTTCCGGGCTGTACATCTGCTAAATTTTTAATGAATAAATTGAATGATTTTTGTTGTGGTTGAATGTGAATTGTTTGGAACAGGTGCTAGAAGTCTTTCTTCGGAACCATCGTTTTATGTCAAGAACATTTACTGTAACTTCTTTACACAACTATAGATCATTTGTAACAGATGTGACAATGTACCCCGCTAGGAAGCTTTGCAAAAGAATATATTATTTGTATACAGAAAAGGATGAACGTTCTATCGAGAGGACAAGACAGTTTTTTAACACATTATTCTCTAACATCATTGTAAGTTAAACAGCACATTATTTAACAGTATTACATTTGCAACAACGATTCTATGAATGGGACTGACCTGAGGGGGGAAGTAATAGCCAATGTCCCACAAGAATGAGTCAGGCTTGTGTTTGCTTTCCAACTTTACGTTTTGCGGGGGGTTTGCACCCCCTGTCGGTAGGTGGTGAGGCAGAGGACGCCGAAAAGAGCAGACATTTTGTAGCGAGGCAAAAGAATTGAAAAGTCCATACATCGGCTTAGCAGACGGCAGACACTTGTGTTCTCAATAATCCTCCCTCATCGTGAATAGTTTTTGAGGTACTCACGGAAAGAACTCTACTGTATTTGCTGTCAAATGTGTCTACTGACATAATCTCCCCATGTCATCGCGCGATGAATTCTACATCGGTACAAGAGGTGTGGATCAAAGCCTCTTGCTATAGACTTTGGGGTGATAATGTTGATTCAATGCACTTTATTTCCGTATAAGGGGAAGGAAACGCAACCGACAAAGACGTCATAGGGGTGACTAAAATCGCACAACCATACATAACATGCATATTCTAGTATATAATCGCTGAATATGCACAAAGAATCGCTGTTTCTATCTCTTTTCGGCTATTTGCAATCCCCTATGTACGCAACCGACTCAGCGGTATTTCTGAGGATTTAAAATGTCTACCCAGTGGTTGCATGCCACTGAAATTTCAACGTCTATAATCCTTCTCAGTCAAACAACAGAAACTAAAGGAGGCGAATGAATTACAGAACGACATACCTTCGGGCAACAACCGCAATAACCCGGTTTTTACCGGATTCACTTGGAAAATGTAATAACTTCTACTCAAAACTGCTGGATTTTTTCCTTCTCTTCTCTTCACTGCTTTTCAAAGATTAAAGTTTGTTTCCGGATTTAACCCACGATGGGGAGGGGGGATTAACGCTACCGGAATTAATCCCTTTGCGCGGAAAAATTGTCGACAAATTTCTTTCTCTTTCAACGTTCATCGTTTTCTGAATTGTAAGTGAACCACAGGAAATCCTTCTGCACGTTCCTCATCTTCTACATCAAAGAAGAAAGTCCCTTCCGCAGGCGTTTCCGTAATTCTTACAAGTTATTAAATTTTCTGTTTACTTAAAACTAAACGAAACGTATCGGGTAATCTGTAAAGCTGCTAGTTTTTCTGTTGGATTACACACGCACTATTCTTCCTACCCTGACCGAATGATGTTCAAATCTACGTTCAATAAATTCTAATCAGTTTTTTCTCTTTTCTCATTGAGATCATCTTCAAGACAGATTTTAAAATATTCTTATGTTCAAGCTGCTTTTTGCAGTTAACTTAATGTTGTATCAATATTTATTGTCCTCTACAACTGACTTAACACCTTTTTTTCCCCTCTCACTTTTTTTTTATAGATTTGTAGAAGATGGCGACTCTTGAATCTTTAACAGATGCTTATAATTGGATCACAACCCAGAAACGTTTCTTAAACAGCTTATTTTCCCCCTTTGATACGCTCAAAATAAAGGTGTTTGTTACCTTTAATGTTGACTAAATATATAAAATAAATATTTATCTCTTTAAAAAACCGTTTATGATATAAAATAACTGATTTTTTTAAAATATTATTCCAAATATTACTACACGTCTACTCCTCAACTTTATGTTATCCACACTTACAACTTAGAATTTTTAATTAAAAACAATCAAAAATTAAATAAATAAAAATAAAATAAATTTTTTTAATTAAAAAATCTTTTTTTTATAATAAATTTAACCTCAATTTAAATCATTTTTATGTGACACTTCGCACATTTTCTCCTGTTTTCCGAGAAGAAATATATTTAATTAATCTGCTTAACTACGATTTTACAAAAGATTATATCACACTCATTCACATGATCTTTATCATTTGTTATTGAATATGATATTAGCTTCCTCTAATTTATGTTCCTCACACTTCATTTTGATGCAAAATGACTGGAGGCTGTAGAGCGTTACAGCAAGATAACTCTCATAATATTTGATAAATCTTTATTTTTCTCGATATTATTCATACTATAATCATAATTATAATTAATTTTATAAAGTATAATATAATCTCTTCCTCTCTTCTTTAATAAAATTAACAGAAGAAGCAATTTTTGAATAATTCTTTTTCACTTTACATTTAATTTTAATAAGGCGCCTATTTTATTATTATGTAATCTTTATAAAGACTGATACAAATTATTAATTTAATTTTCGTATAAAACGTAGTAGAATTTTAATAAATAAATAAATAAATTTTAGACCTAAATTTACAAAAAAAAAACATGAATTTTAATCTACAAAATTGTTTTTTTAAGGATAAATTTAAAGCAACAGCCGTTAAGTTAACAATTAATTATTCTAATTTTAATTAATTCAAGTTAAAAAATAAATTTATGTAATTTAAACTAGAGAAATTCTTTTATAAATTTAGATTTAATGAAAGACAGTCCATAGAGAAGATAAGGATCTAAACGTGGTTCAAGGAGGGATGCGATTGACACACTCGGAGTACAAACTATGCTTTTCTGTTGCTTTCACCGATCCTATTTTCTATCGAAGGATTTTTCTAATTAAAGGAAAAAACTTACAAGTCACTAGATCTTCTGTCAGCAACATCTGTTCTGAAATGATAAGATTTACTCACCAACCATCTGACGTCTCTGCATTTGTCATTACTTTACTTAAAAAAAAAAAAAAAAAAGTTTTCTCAGTTCGTTCGGTATTATTTGTAATCAATTTTTCCAATTTATTTTTATTTTATTCACTGATTATTATTATAGGAATAAGTTAAATTTTAGAGTCGAGTAAGTAAGAGTTAAACTATAAGAGTTACAAGCTGAAGCATACGTGGAGGGGAGAAACTACCTTAACACTTTTAGATTTTTTTAAGGGAATTCCTTCAGTAAATTCGTGTAAATTAGAGGAAAAAATTGTTGAAATTATAATTATACAATCAAATAAATTCTTTTGAGAAGTTTTTATAATGGAATTTATGTTTTTTGAATGGAGATATTGTTAATTTTCATTTTTTAAAAACACAAATTGAACAAGATAAATTGTCTTTTTTGGAATATTTTCTGTTGTTTTTATTCCCTTATTTTCTAAATTAAAATTTAGTTATAATTTAAAAATAAAAATAATAATAATAATAATAAATTCATTTTAAATATATTAAAACCATTGAATATATCTATAAATTTAGTTATTATAAGCTGCATCAAATTATCTAAATGATAATTACTATGTTGATTTTTGAAATAATGTAAATATTATTTTAAAGTGATTATTAATTTCCTCATAAAATTTAATTATAAAATTATATCAACAATTCGCTTTAGTTTATACATTATTCAATAGAATTTCAATTGAATTTCATTCGAAATGAGAAGAAAATTCTCACTTAAATATATTAAAAAATAATTATATTTTATGATTTAATAATTTTTAAATATAAATTTATGTG